TGCAGAGACCTCTAGGTGGGGAGAGCTTGCAGAGCCTGGGGGGCAGAGAGAGCAGTGTGGCCGGGAGGTCACAGCGATGAAGATCGTGGCACAGGAGACACACCCTGCAGGTCCAAGCGGCCCGGGGAGGGGTCTAGCATTATTCTAAATGCAGCAGGGCCTCCAGAGGGTTTGAAGCAGGACCGTACTAGATCTGACTAGCATTTTAAAAGCTCACCCTGGCTGCTCCTCGGAGCATAGCTTGGCACTGAGCATAATTAGAATCAAGGGATGAGTTAGAAGACACTTGCAAAAAGCCCAGGCACAAAGGACAGGGACAGCTCGGCCTGAGTAAGGACCTCGGGGAAGAGAAGAGTGGAACTGAGAGTAGAGCCTTCAGGACTCCCTGCCGGGAGCAAGGACAAGCACGCAGGAGACCTGTGAGCTCCTGACAGCAGTGGTGGCGGGAGGGCCGCTTCCCAAGATGCAGTGGCTCAGGGAAAAGCAAGTTGGGAAGGGAAGTCGCAGTTCCTGGTTGGCCTTGTGGCCTGTAAGATGCTGGGAGACACCCGGTGAAAATGACCAACAGGCAGCTGGACGAGAGGCCGTGGGGCTCGACGGGCAGGCCTGAGCTGGGCCGGGTGTAAATGGGCATCTTAGCAGCTTGGGCCATTTCGAGGTGCGTGGGGGAGGCCCAGCACACTTGGCCAGATCCTGCCTGGACAGATCTTAAGGTGTGTATCTGGAATCACGTCTCGAGACTGCAGTTTGCCACACAGTGTGGGGGTGTGCATGTGAGCATACATGCACATACGTGTGTGTATGTGTGCACCTGTGTGTGTGGGTGTGTATGCATGTGTGTTTACATGTTTGTGGGAAGGTGTGTATCTGTGTGTGTATTTGTGTGTATTTGTGGATCTACAGATGTGCATATGTGTGTTTTGATCAAGACTTAATTGTACATGGGGACCAGCAGTTAGCGTAATGGCTATGTCGCTGGACTCCCACGTAGTCGACCGCGGTTCGCGTCCCGGACCCGGTGGCTTAAAACTCATGCCGGGTGCGTGTGCGTGCGTGCCCAAGATCCCGAGAGGAGAATGGAGGAGAAGGGATTGCGGCGTGGCCATCCCCCCTGGGGGGTGATTTCTCGCTTTCTGTCTCTATGTCTCTCTCTGTCTGTCTGGCGAGTGCACGTGCCCTACAGTGAAAATCTCTCCAAAAAAAAAAAAAGACTTGATTGTACTGTAAGTGATTTTATAATGCAGAGATTCATATACCAGTATTGGTAGTTTATATCCTCCATAGCAGCCTTTTTTTTTTTTTTTTTTTTTGGGGGGTTTTTCTTTAGGGGTTCTGTG